CCCTTTTATTACATGGAGCTCGATAAGCGACATAGACTTTTGACAAATTAACTTTAATATGATTTTTTTTTAATATATTAACTTATTTCTAAGCACATTTTATTAATACTCTTATTTTTTCAACAGATTTAATAAAAATTGACCAATCAAAAATTGCTTTGAAGTATTTGTAACGTTGACCGTACCTCTAATTGGACACATTCCTAATCAAACATGCAATTACAGACCTATGATAAGGTAATTTATTTATATATTATAGAATCTCTTTAGATATAGTCCAATCACATACTATTGTATTTGGCTGATTACAGTTGCAAGATGTCCAACTGAGATTTACTCAGCATAATATAGTTAAAAATAGTTAAAACAAAATTTAATTTTTTTAGTAATATATAAGTATGCAAGTAAAAACTCATTGTGTTATTCATAAATATGTATTTTCTTGATGAACGTAATATTTTAAATTAACATCTAACTTTCTCTGTTTTTGTGGTTCTTCGTATATATTGTTCTTATTCTGCGTATTATTTTATTTTGCTTTGCTTTTCAAACCTATATTGTAAAATTAATGTCATCTGAACTTTATAGAATATATTTTCTTTTATGTAATTTTGTTGTATTGTGTTATTTTAGAGTCATCGTCTACAATAATGTCTATATTTATACCGATTAATTGATACATATATTAAAAACAACACAGGCCAATATAAATTTTGACATAGATACTAAGTAATCCCAAAGATTTTTGCCTTTGGAGCAATTTGGGTTATGGATTTTGCATGCCAGAAATCTTAGAAATTACATACTATCGTAATATTTTTTGTCTATATAATCAATGTAAATTAAGTCATTATTATTAGAAACATTCTCCCAAATACACCCTAACTGATATCTTAGTTTTTCTTCGGTGCGGACATTAGTATATCCTATTACTATCTGCCATATAGCCAAATGTCTACTGAACATCTTTGAGATATTGCAATATCCTGGCACGATATCTTGACGAGATTCCATAGATTTCTTTTGCTGTGTAGTTACTCTTAATTACTCAAATTTTAATAGGTGCACGAATTTCCATAAGCGCCGAGGGTCTTTAATAGTATCTCGTCGATGGTAGAATTAATCTCCTGTAAAAACAAGTGATAGTAAATATTAAATTGATACTTGACAAATTTAGTACTTTAAAGTGTAAGAAATAATTTAAGCACCACTTTACTGTACAAACTCGGATCCTTGTTTAAGTTATATAGTTTTAAAGAAAAAGTGCGCACTCTTGGGCAGTTTTATATTGTACTATACATGAATTTTGCAGTTCTATAAAACTATAATAATTTAGATATATTTTAGAATTACAAAATAACAGAACCGGTTCCAGCATCTTTAACGCCTTATGCAAGATTTTAAAAAGTGAAAAAGCTTTATTATCTTTCATTTATATAATACATAGTAATAATAAAATCTTAAATATAATTAATTGATATAAAATATCAATGTATTTATTTGCAAAGCATAGTGTTTGTATTATAAATTATGTATATTAAACAATTTTTCTTGATTAGAATAAATTATTCTGTATTTTTATTCTGAATAATTAAACATAAATTGCAAAATTTACAAAATATAACAAATATAATATATCTTACATATCTTGTACGCACACATATAAATATAAATTGAAAGATACAATTTCGCGTGAGGACATCTCACTTTCGAACAAAAACAATTGAAAGCTTAACGAACTACGAACAGTAAAAAGTTATCTCTCGCCGCGTCCACTGTTCAAATCTTGCGATCTCACTTTTTTTTATTTACTTTATTATGAGTGACTAGTTGATATAAACTGTATGTAGATATATCTAGTTAGGGCGAAAAGAAGCACAACACAAAAAAAAACGAATCAGTTATTTTTATCTTCTTTACATTGATATAATACGATAAATTTATATTCCTAAACAAATATATATTATTATATATATTTTCAATGTTTTTAAATAATTATATTAAATAATTATATTATTTTTGAC